AAAGCTTATGTAGATACTTAATTTAAATTTTTACAGTTCACACGTCTTTTTTAAAAGAAAAACAAATAAATAAAAGAAAAGAAAAAGAAAAATAACAACTATAGTTGTAAGTTGTAGAATATACCGGTGGATTTTTTAAATATTTAATTAAATTGGTTGGTTTAAAACAAAAATTTGTAAAGTGCAATAATTTCTTTTTTTGACGTTGGAACATGGTGCGCATTTTTTTAGGTTCGAGTACTGACTTTTCTAATATGTATATTAAAAATTTATATGTAAAAATGGACAATTTCACGCTAAGCTGATCCCCCGTTGTATATATAATGCGATGCGAAAAAGAAAAATTGCAAATTTGTTGGTGTTTTGTCAATTGGGATATGAAGAGACCAATAATCATTAAAACAAAAAAATAATATTATGAATCAATAAGTGCTCGTAAATCTTTCACAAATCATGTGCCCCAAAAAAATATACTTAAAGTTATCCCAATTTTGAATGTGAACAGCAAGGATCAGCTATGAAATACAACAAATATGACCGTAGTACCACTGAATATTGAACGTCACCGTCTTCAGATGCCCGGAAAATCAGAAAATTGCATTTCCCTATTTTTTTTTTTTAATTTTTTCCTTTTAATATAATCGAGAGGCACTGATAGACCTATATATTATTTATAATAATAGATTGTGCGTCCCACCGAACCGTACCTAACCATTTCCCGATTCCGAGTCATACCGAAAATTCAATGGTAGTACCTGCCATTTGCACAAACCGGAAGTACCGGATATTTGACAAGAACGTCGATCGTTTTAATTTGAAAATTGTTTCCGATTCGTCTAAGGCTTCTCTATAATATTCTGAGTGGTCTGTTGCGACTAGTAGTTTCAATTTTTGGTATTCTGGAAAATTTTATTAAAATAATTGTTTCAGTACATACGTAGACGTGATGGTGTTAAAAGAAATCGACATTGTTTCAAAACTCATCGGTACAAGCCGGCAAATATCGACTGCTATACATCTTCGTTAAGTTAGCAAAAACATTGGTCATCGATATTATTACTTATTTATGTATTATTATATTATTTATTGTTAAAATAGTTTCGAACGTTCGCTTCTCTCGAACCTTTGAATTTTGGTGGTAATGCTGTGTCTACCTAGGTCCTACCAAAATGTAAAGGGTTGAGATGACGAATTCTCCATCTCCCGCACGATTTATTATTNTGCTATACACGTAATGGCGGCCCTGAATCCTACCTTTTATTCCTTTAGAAACTGGTAATCCTGCCTTGAAAGAAGTGACTTTTGTATTTGAAGTGTGTTGTTCTTTATTTTTTGGGGGGATTGTTTTTGTTTCGGTCGCAGGGTTCAAAAGAAAATACAATTGCAATACAAATACGGTTTTATTATCATACTTCGCTAAAGATATAGAATAAATCCTATAATATATTATGTATTTATATGTGTATGATAAAATAAATAAAATACGTAATATAATGTTATTATAGCAACATTTAATATATGTTCTCAATTAGTAGAAAGAATAATATTAAGTAGAGAATATATTATATACTTCTGAAAAACGTGTAATTGTAAAAAATACTGCTACATGAACATACTCTACGTATAATTCATTTATTATTAAAATATATAAGGGGAGGTTAACTTGGTTAGGATATTATAGTATATAATAATAATATGCTCGACATGCACCAGGTTTTTACAGACACCCCTTTACAACAAACAGTAATACCCCTTGCAAAGTGTTCCGAAAGTCGCTTTCTTATCGCGTGTGGTGACATCCAGTGGTGTGGGTACTGGGGAAAGAGTAAGGAGTCAATTCAAGTCCTATTTAAAAAAGTTATTCTACTTAAACACAACACCGTTGTCAGAGTGTTTCGAACAAAAACAAAACAGTATCGGAACAGTTTGCTAAAGGTTTCTAATACACACCATGGACACTAAACAAATGCTCCAGAACACGTTTAGTGGAACTTTTGAACATTGTATGAAAATAAATACTGCAATAATTATAATAAAATACATCTTGTTTACGTGATTATCAATCTTAGTAGATAATAATTTAATTATTATATGTAGATACTTAATTTAAATTTTTACAGTTCACACGTCTTTTTTAAAAGAAAAACAAATAAATAAAAGAAAAGAAAAAGAAAAATAACAACTATAGTTGTAAGTTGTAGAATATACCGGTGGATTTTTTAAATATTTAATTAAATTGGTTGGTTTAAAACAAAAATTTGTAAAGTGCAATAATTTCTTTTTTTGACGTTGGAACATGGTGCGCATTTTTTTAGGTTCGAGTACTGACTTTTCTAATATGTATATTAAAAATTTATATGTAAAAATGGACAATTTCACGCTAAGCTGATCCCCCGTTGTATATATAATGCGATGCGAAAAAGAAAAATTGCAAATTTGTTGGTGTTTTGTCAATTGGGATATGAAGAGACCAATAATCATTAAAACAAAAAAATAATATTATGAAT